GCCTTGGCTTTTTTATCCGCATTCTACCATTGTTTCATGGTACTGTACCCCACCCAACCGAGCAAGGATAGACAAAAATGGTTGCGCATTATGGTCCTTTGTTAAATGGTCATAGGATTTCGGACATATTAACATTCTCAAGGAAATGTTGTTACGGATTGAGGTACTGGTAATAAAAGGATAAGCGTCTGTCAAGTCATCAGTTACGGTGAACACAGATGAGAGGATTTGTAAATATAATATACTAGGAGATTTGTTGGATAGCTAAAAATGGTAGTCCACAGCTAATCAGAAATTTTCCAAAGGAAATGGATGAATTAAGCAAGTCTTTTTTAGAAGCGGGCTGTCATTAAACAAGTTTTTTAACCCAATATTCCAAACAATCCATCTGACATCTCCGTTTTACATCATCTCTCTGTTTTTATTACCCGTAAGGAGAAAGGTGAAGAATAATACGCAAGAATTTCATTTTATTTTACAAGTAACGGGAATTAATTTAGGGTAATTGCAGTGTATGTTTTCCGTTGCGTTGCTTAGAGGAATCTAGGTTCACACTTTTCATTACACTTCTTCAGCTGTAGTTCAGTCGCAGAAATAAACTAACTTTCTTTAGATACCAATTCTGCCTTAACTATGCTATGTTCTGTCAGCAAATCAATAGAGGAACTGAACTACCTTTGGATTGGTTTTTATATCTTGCTCACGATTTCGGTTCCATGTTGTTCACAAATGTTGTCAAATTTAATTTTACCTTGTTTACGGATGGGGTATAAGCAGAATGTTTTACCAACAAAGCAAATGCTTTCTGTCTTCTCTTTGAGCCTCACATTTTGAAGGAGATAACGCCCATTTTGAATAAAAAGTCACTAGGATTTTAGGGTTAGGTAAACCCATTTAAATGAATGAGAATTAGACAGTAGAGTACAAAGTTCACTTACAATGATCGAACCGAACGAAGCAATTTTTAAGTCCAGGATCATTTATGGGATTTACGCCGAGGATACAAACTAGGACTTCACAGCTTTAAAATTTATCTAAAATGACGGATAATTGGGTTGAGGTAGAAAAACGCAACGGTTTCAGGTGCATTGATTGATAAAACCAACCGGATCTTTAGTGCCCTCAATTTTCCAGATTGCACCAAGATTAAGTTGGCCAGACTTTTCATGAGCCAAAGCGGGACGTTTCCATATATTTTGGGGGCCATAGCAGAAAACTTAAACTAAGTCTTCTTGTTTCAGCTTTTGAAGACGGTAAAGAAGATTGAAACGTATGTGTTGCTTGGCTGCAATAAAAAAGAGTACATATGCCACTAGTTGATAAACTGGCTGTGCTACTGCAGTCGCTCTACTGCTTAACATGGTACCATCTGGTACCACAGTTTTAGAGCAATACTTATCAGATGAATGTATTTTTGTAGTAGATCTGGGCGCTGCATCAGCATGACGTGAATTTGTTCGCATTGATACCCGGTGCTCTTGCTCCCAAAGTTGCATTTCATCATAAACATCGCTTTCATTGTTCGTACGCGAAGTTGTGTTTTCTCTCCTGTCCATAAGGTCCACATGGGAAAAGATTCTTTCAATAGGTGCGTTAGTCCTGGGGATACGTAGAATAAATTCAATAAGTTGTATTTGTTCACATGGGAATGTGTTGGCCTAGAATTGGGAATACATTTCAACCCATCGCATGTTAAACTTTATTTGTTAACGGTTCCAATTGGAAATTTAGTCTATTGATGCAAACCTACACACCTAATGAACTTCAACCAACAGCTCAATGGCATTAATTTCTAGCTCAGTCAATCTAGACCCAAAACGACTAGCGCTTGCTTCAAATGTTTTCCTGCACGGGGTTGATTCAATGCCACTCAATTGTTGAATTTGGTTCATATTTTCCTATGGACAATTGACGAAGTTTTCGCATTACCTGGTAATAAGATAAACCAATAAATGGTATAATCCCCGACGATGGAAAGCACCGTTCAATTATGTGGTAGATAAATTTGTAAAGCAAGACTGCGCAAAGTGATTACTTGTTCATTCTTTACACAATGGATCCAAAACGGAATCCACATTGGCTGGTTTCAGGTGTTAGATAACTTGGAAATCTGGGATTTTTCACCTCAACTTTTCTGATGAGACCCATTTGTGCGAATTGACCAACCCGATTATTTCCCTGGTTTTGAACAAAGTTGCTTCTGCTCCTGTGCTTGCACTACTGCAGCAGTTTGTACGACATGTACGACAATTACAGCGCTGAATTATATATGCCTTAATGCTTAGAACAGTAGGTTAACGATTAGCAAATAGTTTGTGCAGAATAATAGCCACAGCTCGGCACATGCTCTTTCGAAAGATCATTGTAATACGGTAGGACATATCTGCCGAGACGGAAAATCACATTTTAACGTTGCATAACATTTCAGGGTTCCCTCCACAGCTGATATAAGTGAGAGCCTTCTGGTTTTTCTGTATCCTAGCACGTGTTGGTACTCCACCATTGCAGCGTCGCAGAACTTCTTTAGTTCTTCGGCACGAATGGTGTAAATGTAATAGTAAGAAGATATTTGTACAATAACTGTTTCCGCATCAACCGGAAGCTAGTCAGCTGCTGTTTACAATGTGATGTGGACAACGTGGGTCATGCAACCATTTCACACAACTGTTTCTCCTATGGAAGACTTCATTTTTCCAAATACATCGTTTGTACCCGTGTATGATTACCACTGAAACTTTCTTTGACGTTGCCAACACAATATTCCACCGTTTTTTCTTGTCAAGTTATTTTGTTCCAAAACATGCATGACAAATTCACAAACGATGTCCTTCGTGTCAACAGTGACGGCTCAAACAATTTCTTTACCAATTTTCTGGTGTAATCCATGGAGTGGAAACTTTGTTTATATAATTAGCGTGATAAACGAAGGTGCCTTCTGCGGCCACTACCTTGGCTTCTGCCTTTACAAACGTCGCTGATCGAAACTAATTTGTTACAGGGGTAGAAAATGCTACCGCCGACACTGATATATTATGGCGACACAATTTTAGGTGATTTGTGTTATCTGCTGTGCCATCGTAAGCAATAGAAAATTCGGATTTGCATGCGTCACAACTGACATACGATACGTTTTCACGTGTTGACCTCTTACTGTAGACCAAATCGCTCTCTAATTGGGTAATCAGCTTACATGTCCGTTTGGACATGGTTTTCCCACCAATCATATTTAATGAAGGCGTCCTCCACTAAAGACACGAAACTTTCATTATTGCCTCTCTTCACGCTTTTATCTTGTCGTTAAGTCTCGTTGCCGCGTTGCCCACCCACGCCGTCGGCTATCTCGCTCAACTCATGCCCGCCCACTTATATTGGTAGCATGATGTGCACGCACCGCACTGATTAGTTTTGGTTTGTTTCAAATACATTCTGCACATTCAACGCTGGACATTCTGAGGTCTCCAACCTCAATGTGAGATAATAGTGCGTCCCGCTCAGCCTTTTTGAAAAAGCAGGACGAGAGCTTGAAATACGGGATTGTCTCGCCTAAATCGGAACGTACGACCACCTTAACTAAGAGTAGAATGTCATTCGTTATTTGACCGCTTTGTGCACAGATAGCTCTGAGGCCAACTCCGTGCCTTTCCGCGTCGCTTCACACCGTAAGTTCTAGTAAACGCACACGAAAAACTTCCGGCCAGACAGAGTGGCATGAGTTCGGTAGAAGGCGATTCCCGCAATGAAACGTAAGCACTCTCGGTCAGCGAAAACTGCGAAGGAAGATTTGATTTCTTCTAGCCGTCTTATACAACTACCGATAGGGTTGGTTTCGCCCTTTGGAAGTTGACCTCGTAATATGCTTTCCGACAATTCCAAAACACTGATACAAGCAGTAACGTGGTCAATTAGTGGGCCATCGAGTGAGCCGAAACACAGCAAAAATTGTTAACTAGCATTCGATGCTGGTCCGTTAATAGAACACTTGATGAAGCTTGTGCAACAAAAAGGTATGATGGATGGGTTTGCACTGGCCAATGTGCGACAAAATTTGAGTCCGAAAACTTGAACAGTCAGGAATGATGAAACATTCCGACAAGCACAGCTACTGAAGCCTGTGAAACTAGGCCAGGCGATCCCAGTGTACACATGCTTTCGGTTGACCTAAATTATAGTTTATTTCCCCATTTACGCCCTTTGGCTTACGAAGTACCGTTCTTTAAACTGACCCCATTTCTGTGAACTAAGCAGGAAAGGAATGGCAATGTGCCATTGCAATATTCCAATCAACCTCTGGTTCACTCGGACTGATGAAAGTTTTGTGTCAAAATATACCAACCGGTTGTTTTCAAACCCTACGGAAAATATGTCATAGATTTCCTGATAAACATAGAACTTAACGCTTTAAGTGTTTCTGGCACCGTACCATCGCAATCCTCATAGTTTCGTAGCACTCACAGTTGACGGATAATGAACCCAAGATTCTTCCACAAGTGGAACGATGAGTGACAAATCGCCTGTGAGTGAGTGTGACATCTAACTACCTTCTATACAAATTAAGGGTCAGTGCGGAAACGATTGATTTGGAAAGTGCTCTCCAAATTAGGCGCACAGAAAAAGGTATACTTCGTATTCTTCTGATAGTATCAGCTAATGATCTCTTATAATGTTGCTAATGCTGAGCTGCAGTAAGGATTGGTACACGGCATCTCGATCCTGCATGACCATGGTCCCGCATGACCATTATTATATCGCCTAGTAATTGATGAGAACATCCTATGAATATTGCTAATTCTTTTAGCATATGTTCCGTTTCTCATTTTAATGACACGTATCAGAAAGACGTTGCGGCTGCGCTAGTGCACTGAGTTCGGGCTTCAGTAATAGCTGCCAGGCTGGTTTAGACAACTATTACGTATTAAATTATGAGAGCTAGAAGTAAATGTTTACACATTTTCTTGATAATGTCACCCATTCTCAACCATATTGTTTTTCCTTTACAGCTAATGTTGCCCGACCCTTGTCCATTATCACCTACACAATCGGGCTGTAAAAGCTTTATTTCTGTGCGGCCAAAATCCACGGCCTCCTCAACATGTGGCAAGAAAATTACACAGTTGGGTGCAGACGGGATGCGTCTCCCTCGATACCATTCTAAAACTTATGCAACAAATTATTACAATACAGCAAGGTTAGTGCGGACGATGGTAACCCCTTGACTTAGCTCTAGAAAATGTCTAACTGATTTGCTGTTACAAGTCAGTAAGTAGTAATTAAGGCAGCAAAATTAACAAAACTGCTCCCTTTTCAACAATCCTGTCCTTCAACCCAGTGGACAGTTTTCATGGCAAAATTCCTGTGCAACTTAGTACCGCCGCACGAAAACTCATAGTGTCAACTTGGAACCCACGTTCTCCACAAAGCGATTAGTTACCCTGTTACGACCACTCGCATTGTCGCTTTCTGTCTTCATCCCGACGTGTCGCCTTCGTGATAGCGCGTAGCGGAAAGAATAAAAAGAGGACACCAATTCTGAACACGTGACTGCCCTCTATTGTATGTGGATGAAAGGAGATCAACGCACTGTCAACGATCGTTTCGGATACCGCTTGAGTTGTGTGTCATTGCTTACCATTGTCTGCGATGTTTCGCAGGATGCCGCCTACCAATGGTTTGCTAAGTAGAATTGTTTCGCGTCTATTGTCATCTAACGACAGACAACCTGCTGTCAGTAATGGAAGCGGTGTACTACAAAGCTTCTGATGAATGCTCGACAGGAATATGAAGAGATAAGTACACGAAAAGGGACAACCACTTGAATGTGAACGCTTGCTGTAAAGTATTGCACAACATGTTTCCACACCTTAAGCGCCTAAATCTAAACATTACATTTTCTTCCAAACCAGGGTAAAAGTTCAACTGGAGAGACCCGTAGTTAAACTGAACGACGTACTACATGGCGTGATAAGTTTCTATCAAAAAATATACATTTTATGACATTCGAGCGCTAAGAAGTGGTCAATGATCAGTTCGAGTTGAAATAATATACCACATCAGTGAGTACATGTCGCAGTTCATGATATTTGATGAAAACCCTAGTTCGCGGTGCAACATGGTGACACATTATAGACAGACGCATAAGCCCAGCTAAGGCAAGCACGATAAACCAAAACTATTGTTTCGATAACAATGGTAATTTTGGAAGCAATGGGCTCAAAATCGACACGTGTTTGCTTGGTCAGTTGTATACATACTGCAGCCTATGCATTGCATCTATGGTAGGGCCATTTGTCTAGACTTGTTTCTGAACCATCGGAAGATGTGGTGGTTTGTAGTTTGATAAATTAATGTAAGGTAGAATCACGAACTTGGAGATGTGGAAGCTTTCTTATTATGCATGCGTAGAATGGGTTCATGAACGTTGACTCTCAATGAGCTGTAGACTTAATGTAACATCGGGGTGCATAGGCATTTAAGAACAGTCTTTGTCTCGGTTACCTTTTAAAAAAACCAGTACTATGTGTTATCAGTAAGTAGGTGGCACACAGAAGAAGCGTTTCGGCAAAAAGTTAGCACTTTCATTTTTATCACGTCCAAAACTAATTTCGTTTTTCGACCCACGTTGCGTTTTAGATCGATTGAGTCTAGCTAACAACTGGGGATGCTTGTTATGTGTGAAAACGATTTAGCTCCTTTTATGTTCGCATCGAAGGAAATTAAATTTTTGGATGGAGACCTGACTAAAAGTAACCGATAATCTCCCTTAGATTTCTTGTAGGAATCAATCAAATGTACCACGGTCCTATGTGCTATGTCATTCCTAGTTACCTCCAGTGGAAACATGTGACTCTGGGGATCAGCTTTTCATCAGTAACGTTTGTAACTTGCACTGCAGTGGTGGATGATTTTTGCCACATCATACGTAGCACGACAAACCTGACGATCCGCCCTTCTTCTTGGTGCTCTCTTGTCATAAACCGCGTCAAGAGTTCATGTGTTCCGTCCCCGATGGAGTAGAAGAATGCGCGACAGTAAAGAATCCCGACGGGACGCATTGTCTGCTTTGAGGTTTACAGCACAGGGACCTTAATTTATTACATTTGAATTGTAAGGAAGTAAAGATTATATAAAGCAAAATTTTCGAACGATGGGCACATAAGCCGGAGCACCAAATTCGGGGCCTTTTCATTAGTACCTGATTTGTGGATAAATAGCAATTCCAACAGCTTTATGGTCTGTTGTGATTCCGTGATAATTTTTGATGGTGGTATCTTCGACTGACGTAGCAAGTAAGCCTAATTAGATGTTACTGGACATGAGTTAAATTAATTACTGGTTGGTGAACCAATACACGGTTTCCGCGTGCTCGTCGGACTATACAGAAAGCAAATCAGTTCCAATCAGCCTTTATTTAAGCTCTCGCAGATTATCGTTTAATCTTTTCATAGAGGCATCTAAACTGGGCGTTTCGAGGATGACAAAACCATGTGGATATATGTTTTACTTGTTGATAGCTTCAATGCATAATAGTTGTAACCGAAAATTGTGCTAGTCTGTAGTACTTTAGTGATACACTCGTAACCAATTGCAAGAAACTTCATGTCGATGATCGGGTATGTACTTTTTTGGATCGTCACAGACAGATGATCTATCCTCGTTACACGGAAGAAGCTTGGACATTGGCTACAAAAACGGCTGAGGCAAATTCTGGGCAGGAGAGGGCTGAAGCCGAGGAATTCCGATATGCAACTTGGCGAACGATGGCTGAGATTGAAAGGAAAGCAAAGGAACGTCAAAAGCTGAGTACTATGAAATTAAGTGAGTTAAATGATGCATAAGAATGCACATTAGTGTATCCTCCCATCTTGTAGCAGCCCCAATTAGAGAGAACTTTAAAAATGATTCGAGCTTACTTATTAATCAAATGAAGGCGCGTCCTGGGTTAGTAAGAAATGTGTGTCGTCCATCCGGGAAAACAACACGCCACCACGGGTTTTAAACTTTGCTTTCCCAACAGATAGAGATGGCGCGTCGCAAACAGTCAACAAATAGGACTCCTAGATAACCTTCCAATAAGTCATTGACCGTTATGACAAACGTTGCACAGCCTGACGCGGTTGATTTAGAGTAAGGTTTCGGTAAACATTCCAAATTCTCTGGGCTCGTTTGCCTGCTGCCTCTAGTTTATGAGATTAACTACGTCCAAAATCGGTAGTGGAACAGTTTGTTCAGGGTTCGATGCCTAAGCTTCCAGTGATTGCGGTCTATATAGGGATTTCGCTTCACAATGCAATAACCTGACAAGTAATTCGGAAAGACTCTTCCAGTCATACGTCCGGAGGTCTTCGCTGACAAACATATCTCAAACAATTCTGTAATGTACATTATGCTTGCCATCAAGACAAGCACGGTACTGATTCTTAATATATAACAACGATAGATTGCAAACGCTCCGGTCGACCGTCGCTAAAGCTCTATTCCATTATATATCAGCCATTATTCCACATCCTGTGCATCAAGGCGCTTGCTTAATAGGGGATTAATTTTCCAGTCATAGGTGAGTCTGATGAGAATGCACTACTGACGGCTCCTTAAAAGCGAAGGCAGTCATGTAATAAAATACTGGATGCTTACTTGGGTTCCCCCCGCTGAGACTCATGTTAGGTGCTGACTAACTACTAGCTTATACTGCCTTTTGTCGAGAAGGCAATAAAACTGACACGCGGAATGATTTCAAATGCAATACGACTCTTGATTTAGTTACTTTCACATAACCTGCGTTTAACCCAAACGATAAAGTCTGATCATCTAATACCAACTTCTGTGCAAGCCGTCCCGTTGTGAATCATCCCATTGCTCGTTCTGCAACTTTATTTCAAGTGGATTGTTAACCACCGGTTGTTGGGAATAACCAGCTCGTATTACGGTGGGTTGGCTGCCTGTCTTACTCTTTATTTAACGATGGCACAACTTAGACCACGCGGACATTGCGGACCGATGCCATTAGCTGATTACTGTGAAGCGCACTCAGAGATTGTTCAAGGGGCCGGAAGTTCAGTGTTGATCTAGTCGGTACTTGAACTGATCTGAAATCTTTTTCAGTGAGTCCGTCATGCAAAATGGCTTGACATCGGTGCATACTACAATGTGGCAGCTGACACATTAACTAGCGCATAGAATTACGAATGGAATTTCTATGTATGACAAAGGCCCAAGTTAATATTTCGTTCCCGTAGGCGACCTCTGTCACCTATGACACTGTGATGTAAGCAACTTAGCAAGGATTCGGAGAATACATTCGAAGCCTGTAGGACGAGTCGGTAATGAGTGCTGCTGTATAAACTTGATTAGAAGAGGTGGATTTTCACCACTTTTTCTGGCGCTGGTGTCTGTATATCCCTACCTAGCTTGATGGAACTGACTGTATATCATTCTCAGTTATTATGTCTACTACAGTAGCAATAACTTCACGTAATAAAATGTCCAAGCGGTTGAACGGTGCGAAACTACCTTCTTAGGGTTATCAGTACAGAAAAATTTTCTCTGTGTATTAAAGTGCGATTCAGAGTGTCGTTGGAGATGATAAATTTGCAGGTTTATCTTCTTCAGATACGGCACCGGCGAACCTTCTCATTGATATTAACTTCAAAATGAGGTACTCCGTTATACTCTATTCACAACACATAAAGGTCAAGGGAAACTAACATGTAAAACCCTTATTCCTCATTCCTTTTCGTTCGCTGTGAATTGCATGGCTTTTCAGATAAATCGTAAGGATCACGGTTAAATGATAAATGAACCTGCATTAGCAAGCATAAGGATGGCGGGCTGATGCCGAACAGTACAACCTCACTTGAATTTATATGCCATTAATTACCCAAACTCTGTTTACATTAATGATTGTCTATCATGCACATTACTTCTTCAGGTTGTTCACTGAATATTTGACTCAAATATAATCATTCTCTGCTACATGAAATTGGGCACTATAGAAATTGTATACGGCAGAAAGGCATAAACCGTTAGATGTAAAATGAAATGTTTTTATGTGCTCCAGTTTTGTGCTCGGATGCATCATTCATCAGGACATTCCATTTTTAGTGTCCATTTTTAATGTTGCAGCATCATTTTCTCGACTACCGCATAGATAATAATTTTGCTGTCTGATATATATGTATTTAATTGCTAGTTACACTCTTTGTGAGCAGTACATATTTATTTAACAGATATTTCAAACCATTACAACTAAAAATCACAGCATAACTCTGTTGGCTCAGAAGCATATATTGTAAGTAACAAGTTTGATTGGGATATGAGTAATTAGTAAGATATCTCGGATACAACAATGTAAGGAAGCCGAGACGCCAACTGCGGTAAAATTAAAAAGGAAACAAAAAAAAATTACCTCACCAGTAACCGTTGCATATCGAAACAACCGAGTTCCTCAATATCCAGAGGAATGCAAACTGTATTTACAACCGTACATCAAGAGGCACACAACACAGAGTCCACCATCGGACCACGACCTTCCTTTTATCAGGTCCGCTAACACTTATTTCATTTGCTCGTTACATAGCGTAGTAAAGGGAAAGCGATGAGCTAGGCTTTTGGAGTGGCTTAAGAGTCATACAAAGCGGTTGTATAGACAACAGCTGCGTACCCCTGGGTTTTAGGATGATTCAAATCTGAGTTGTGGGGGATGGGTCCTCGACAGGTTATACAGTGTTAGTGAACGGTTTCCACAGTAAGAGGATAGGTATATACATGGCGAAATTTAGATGAGATCACATGAGGAAATTCGGTAAGCCAGCGTTTATCAGATATGGAAGGCTCCGAATATGGTCATACATATTAAGAAACCGACTTGCGTCCCAATTTGAAGGCATGGCTGGACGGGTTCAACATTTATTATCATAGCCCCGCTCATGACTAACCTGTCCATTTCTGTAGATGACCCTATTTTTTCTTCTTCATTTATTGCAAGTAGTACGCTCACAACATATCCAATCTTGCCTAGTCTGAAATGGCTCCTGCTCTCTGACTGTAACCAGACTAGTGAGACGTTACCGATCAATTTTCGCAGACCCTAGTCTCCACTGATCTTTCCAGGCTTTCCTACGTAAATGTTCATTTTTATTTTCTCCTAGCTTCCCCCTTTTCTTCTATGAATTTAATCATTTTCTCATTTCTGCTCTTAATTATAAAGTTATCTACAACCTAGAGGTAGTTTAGATAGTCGCATAACAAAAGTACATAATATTATTCCACGCTTCGCATTTGATCATTTTGCAATATATATGACGATTGCATTCACTTTGGATGATGTCACACATATCCTTGGTGGTCTTTTCTGCTCTCTTTCTCTCTACGCTTCGCCGATGTCTGTAGACATCGACAAGGATTTACCAAAGAGCCCCTACTTGCCCGTGGATCTGCGCATAACCTGGTCTTACATAACAACATGGATCATGTCGGACATCCAGCAATATTATCTTCTTCCTGCTCCACTACTCATTAGACAGCAAATGCTGGACACCCAAATGCAGAAGAATGGAGATACCTTGACCTGCCTATAAAAAGCGTTGAAACAAATGAGTACCACAACATAGCTTAACCAATCCATAACTACTGAACTGGCGATCCCGATTGTGAATCATCCACTCACTCGCTTATGACATGTCAGTAATCCCAGGCGCCTTAATAAACAAAGCAATCATGACTTTTTCGTTGTACCAGCTGGGTGGTTCGCGTCTACATCTTTAGAGCAAATGTTCGGCGGCAATCCTCCAGGATGTAGTGGGTTTCCGCCTTAAAAGCGTCCTCTCTATAAAAGGCCACTAGTGTCTGTTTAACAGCACGTCGAAGAGAAGGGTTTGACGCGACTTCAACTGAACTCTCGACCCAATGGCTTTGCTGCCAATGGCAAACCTACCAAGGACGTCATCCATTTCTTCTCACAACATATACATGCCATTAATCACCAGTGAACGGCAAAATAAATATATCGGATAACAGCTACCCAGATACACTCCCACGTGGATATATATAATGCTACAGCTCTTATGAAGAAAGCAAACAACACTAATGTTTTACCTTCCCAATATATTGTCGTATCGTTACGCAGTATTTCCTGCGAATACAGGACTTATTTTTTAATTACTAAGGTGTTGCCAATGATGTGAGGTCAGACACACGTAATATTCTGGTCCTCCAGGTTGAGGGTATGAAATAGGTTAGGTCTATTTCTGTAAAACTGAATCATTGCCACCTACCCGCTGCCTTGCGGGCATGCTTTTGTGCCAAAGGTAATAGTTAAGGACACTAATTTTCCTCCTTTCTAGGTACCGGCGTGCTGGCAATATCTCAGCGCAAATATAACGGTGACTTTTTTCAAACGTAAATTTCCTCCAGCAGCAGCCGTTTTGCAGCTTATCAAGGGGAGCCTTAGCTGCTGCATACTGCTGTGCAGATAAGCGAAAACATGCAACTACTGGCACCTCCCTTCTTTCTTTTTCACCTGTTTCCCTTACTTCCAACCCGACGCTCAATATTAACCATCCTCCTATAATTGCAAGCTTAATTGACAGCAACAGAAGTGCAACTAGTGTAGAAATATCTGCAGCCACGCACTGTCATGCCAGGTCTGGACTCAAGAACATTAATGTACACGAAGGTTAACTCAATGTGGTTCGATTTTGTGAATGTCGGTTTGAGAGTTTTGGCTTGTAACTTGCATTGTCTGACGAACCCTAAATGGTATTCTAAAATCGGCCATTCGTCGCTTGTGCTTGGTCCAGAATATGGACATACAGTGGATTCTTTTGGCATTTTTTCAAGGCAGTCGATGCCTATGTTACCCGGCTCTGGACTGCTGGTGTTGTGACAACTCGTGAGATATGGCATATCTGAATAAGTCAAAGCATTACGCCGGATGCGCACTGTCTATTTAAAGGGTCAGTAATTGTCGGAGTAAGTTGCGCATATGCCGTTGGGCTGTTAGCAAGCCTGGACTTAGCCTCCGACTTTAAAACAAATCTCTGAAGGTTTTGCTGTAAAATATGAGTGTCGTTTGTATATTCTTAAGGTAAAGGTTTGATGCTCGCCACCTGCTGGCTTATTGCAGTCAGTTCTTACACTTTTTATAAACGATATTATGTACTTTGCTATTTGGATTGCACTGTATTTTTAACAAAATCAAAGCAAATAAGTCCGGTTGATTTGTCTCTTGTATCGTTGTTGAATTAAACCAGCAACGACGGCGTGGAACACAAGGGCGCAAAATGCACAAATTATGCCTCGGCTAACTAGCGCTGTGCAAAATTGCTTACCACATTTGCGGTTAGGTGAACTGAATTTAATTGAGAGCCGTTGTTGCAAATGTACGCTGCCCTTGGCTGTTCACGTGAGATAGAATGAGAGTGATGCTCGTGGTCTTCTTTCCAGTAGCAACCTGGACGTTGGTTATCGGAGGTGATTTTGTCAGGAGGTGGAAACACTTACACGGACTATGGCTAGATGATTGATCCACACTGCTTCCTGTAGGACAAAGGTGTTGGAATTGGATGTAGTGGATGGATGGTAGTGAGAAGTGCCTGCTGATGGGCGAATGGAATTGAAACCACAGATTGAGTTCTAGCTTCGTTAGAAAAGATCCTATGGAGATTATTCTAGGACCGCCAGATGGCGCGGAGAATGTTTGATCGAGCCCAGTTTCACAACTGTGAAAATTGTTAACAACTGAGTGGCGCGTCTAGATAGAATCACGAAGCGCTAAAACAATCTGGGTATAACAAACCACTTTCCGTAGAAAATAATTCTTCAAATATGCCTATAGAACACAACGAGTTAATCCGATTCGAATGAGTGTACGATTGCTGCGCTAGGGGAAGAGGAAAACGTGTAACTCTACGATAAATGAAAGCGCGTTTACTATGCCACCAGTCAGGTGATGTAGCCGTGCATTCAACTATCCTGTGCGATTTTGAAACCTAGTCAATGAAGGCGACAAATATGTTGGCGCAAATAAGAATCTTTTCGGAACATTGTTTTATGTGTCAGATTGCGCCTACAGATGTAGGCTCGTCCAATAAAATATTTTTGGTTGGAGAGGCAACGGTTTAATCCATGTCAATGCTAGCGACTGCAGGGTTTTTGCTTGCCTTATATTTTGAGTTCTGCGTAATGCGGGTGACTATATGTTTTGTCAACTAGATGCTAATTGTTTTCTGAAGAGTTGGCACGCGGCGGATTCATTAAGCTGCCGCATTTTATTTCCCTTTGATTCAGCCGCTGTATTTCGGGTCCAATGTGTAGTATGCTATGATCTACAACCTAACACTAACAAATTATTTTTCGCATCTGCTGGATTAGAGAATTAACTTAACTATCCATGGGTCATATGTATTTTAACTTGGCTTTGCGCGTAGCCTTGGTATTGATTTCGCTACAAAATTTTATGGTCATAGTCTTGCTAAATTAACGTCAGAAGTGATGATCATAGGTGGTACCTTGCGTTGATAATATCCTTGGATTTCTAAAACAGTGAACAATGATTGCCTTTATTACAGACTACTTTCAATCTCATCAACTTCGTGCTTCCTCTATTTTTTCAGCTTTAAGGGTTGTCCGGAATGATGCGTAGGGCTTTTTGGCCCAACTTATGGGAGAGCTATCGATATCAGACTTGCTGTTACACAAGTGCTGGAATTTAGTGAATTTGGAGTAATCTAAACTACTCTAGTACTCTGCGGTAAATTGACTTTATAAGCGCACGAACATGGTGGGCTTAGCTACACATCCCAGGATGTCGCAGATGAAATTCTGTTCGCATACACCATGGATTTGCCGTCTTTTCAAGCAATTCGAAGTAGAACTTTAAATGTTGTTACAATGTGTGTTCTCATATTGTTAAGTTGCGTAGTCTGCATTGTAGTCGACTGCCTTGATTATTTTCATATTATCCTTTGGAGCTTAACAAATACTAATTT